TGAAGTACCCACAGATGTGGGACTTTGTTCTCACATAAAGTTCATTATGCGTTATAATGATGGTCGATCATTAACTGATCTCCCTAGTGTCTTACCCTTCTTTATTTTCCAAGAGAATTTATGTAGCTGCTGAAAAATTTAACTTGCAAGTTATTGAAACTACGAGAAAAATGAATGTGAAACAAGGTATAAGATTGAGCATAATATAGTTATCAAACTAAGCTACAACTGATCAGAATAGGCTACAAGATTAAAAGAGAATGCATAAGACTTAATAGACGAAGCGAAACGCTGCAAGGCCAAGTGTAAAAATAGAAAGATTGTAAGAAATCAGTAACCAACAGAGGGAGTGAAGTTGACTAAATATATTTTAGTAGTTTAATATCTATAAAGACCTAGAGCAAGAACTTAAAAAAACAAAAACTATGAAACTCCTTTGGATATGACCTCTCAACTACATGCATTTAATACAACTACTACCTTTCAACTACATATATTCAATACAACCACTACCACTCAACTACATACATTCAATATAACTACTACCTCTATAACCACTATCTTTCAACCACATGCATTTAAGGTTTACCTAACAAAATCCCCCCATAAACTTAAATGTTTTTCTTGTCCTTTATTCCAAGCATCTTCTTGCTGTTCTCAAACAGAGTGATTGGTAGTGGCTTCGTGAACATATCTACAGCTTGTGCTCGGGTTCCGACGTGCTCTAACTCCACATTTCCTTCTTTCACTTGTTCTCGGATGAAGTGAAACCGATCATCAATATGCTTGCTTCTCTCATGATTGACCGGGTTATTTGCCAATTCAATGGCCGACTTGTTATCAACTCGAATCACAGTCCCTTTTTCTTGCTTCAACTCCAGCTTGCTTAGAAGGTTTCTAAGCCAAACTGCATGACAGACACTCCAGGATGCTGCAACGTACTCGGCTTCACAAGTTGACAACGTTACAATGGGCTGCTTTTTTGAAAGTCAGGTGAATGCTGTGTTTCCCATGAAGAATACATATCCAGACGTGCTTTTCCAGTCATCAACATCTCCACACCAGTCACTATCCGAGTAGCCTACTAGTCGATAATCATCCGTCCTAGTATACATTAGGCCAAGTGACATTGTTCCTCTCACATACCTTAGAATTCTCTTTAGTGCCTTCCAATGCGTATACCTTGGCTCCTCCATATATCGACTTGCTATTCCAACACTTAGCATTAAATCTGGTCTGGTATGTGTAAGATACCTAAGACTTCCAATCAGACTTCGATATTTGCTTGCATCAACTCGGTCTCCATCTGCATACTTAGAAAGTTTTGTACCAGGTTCCATAGGGGTGGAAACCGGGTTGCAGCTTGTCATCTTAAACTTCTTCAAGACCTCCTCAACATACCTTTCCTGCGACACAAAGATGTCATCCTTTCCCTGAACAACTTCTAAGCCAAGAAAATACTTCATAAGACCCAAGTCAGTCATCTCAAACTCCTTCTTCATCACTTCTTTAAAATCTTCAATTAGCTCGGCATTATTCCCCATGAAGATAAGGTCATCAACATATAGGGCAACAAACATCACATCTTCTCCTTTCTTCTTTATGTATAGAGCATGTTCATAAGGACACTGCTCATATCCATTCCTTTTGAAGTAAGTGTCAATTCTTTCATTCCATGCTCGTGGAGCTTGTTTCAAGCCATAAAGTGTCTTCTTCAATCCCATCACTTTCTTCTCTTCTCCTCTTCGCATGTATCCGAGTGGTTGTTCAACATATACTTCCTTCTCCAAGATTCCATTCAGAAATGTCGACTTCACGTCCATCTGCAAGATTGTCCAACTGTGTTGAGCTGCTAAGGAAATCAGCAGCCTAATTGTTTCCATTCTCGTCACTAGGGCCAATACTTCGTCATAGTCTATTCCTTCTTTCTGCTTGTACCCCTTCACTACGAGTCGAGCTTTATATCACTCAACTTCTCCTTTAGCATTTGTCTTCTTCTTGTACACCTACTTTACACCAATAGGCCGCGCTCCTTTGGGCAAATCAGTCAGCTCCCATGTGTTTTTGCATTCTATTGCCCCGATCTCCTCGTCCATTGCATTTTTTCACCTTTTCTCCTGCACGGCCTCTTCAAAACTTAAGTCTTCTGAATCTGCCAAGAGACATACAACATGCACTTCGTTAGTGGAGTTGTATATATCTTGTAAACTTCGCGCTCTAGGCTGTAGAGGTTCATCTTCTTCATCAGAAGTCTCATGATCTCTCACAGTATGTGGTGTATCAACTTTCGAGCTTCTACTTCCTATGGACTCCTTCTCCGGATTGTTCCAACTTCACTTGCTTTCTTCATCAATTTGAACATCTCGGCTCATGATGACCTTCTTAGTTATTGGGTTAAACAACCTGTACGCCTTGGTTTTTTCATCATACCCAATAAACACGTCCTTTTTGCTTCTATCTTCGAGCTAGGTCCTCTGTTGGGCTAGAACATGACCATAAGCTATGCTACCGAACTCTTTAAGGTGAGACACACTCGGTTTTCTTCCACTCCAGACTTCTTGCGATGTCTTCTCGTTCAGCTTAGCATGTGGACATCTATTTTGCACATAGATGGCACATTGCACTGCTTCTGCCCAGAACTCCTTTGACACGTTTTTGCTTCTCAACATTGTTCGAACCATGTCAAGAATGGTTCGATTCTTCCTCTCGGCAACTCCGTTTTGTTGGGGTGAGTATGGTGCTGTCAGAAATCTCCTTATCCCTTGCTCCTCGCCATACTTCATGAGTTTGGATGAAATGAACTCGCCTCCTCGATCAGATCTAACAGATTTGATAGGTATGCCAGTCTCTTTCTCAACCATTGCTTTAAATCTCTTGAATACACCTCGGATTTCTCCTTCAAAAAATATACTCAGGTTTTTCTTGAAAAATCATCTATAAAAGAAATGAAATATCATTTTCTCACTGAAGGACTCAGGGGTAACCGGTCCACAAAGATCTGTGTGAATCAATCCGAGTTATTCCTTTGCACGGTACTCGTCCGTCCTCGGAAATGAGGTCCTCGGATGCTTCCCGAGCACATACTCTTCACAAAATTTCTTTTCAAATTTCATATACGGGAGTCCTCGCACCATCTCTTTCTTTACCAACTCGGTCAGCCCGCCAAAATGCAAGTGGTCAAACCGAAAGTGTCACATCATTACTTCATCCTTCACGTCAAGTTTCAAGCACCTCTCTTGGACTATCTTCAAGTCCAGCTTGTACATTCTATTCTTCTTCATTTCAACTCGGGCAATCAAACGATCCGACTTGTCCTTCAGGTATAGTACTCAGTCTTTCATCAGAACCGAGTAGCCTTTCTCCATCAGCTGACCCATGCTCAATATGTTGCTTTTGAGATCGGGTACATAGTACACGTCTCTGATTTCTCCAACTCGGTTATTCTTCTACAGGTACCAGATTGTACCTCTTCCTTTTACTGCCACCTTTGATGCATTTCCAAATGACACGTGTCCGGCCTCAACTTTAGTGAGCTCCTTAAAAAGGTTCTTGTCCCCGCACATGTGGTTACTTGCTCCTGTATCAAGATACCAAACCGAGTTGTCAGAACAGCTCGGACTTAGCTGGACATCCGAACTTCTCGATATCATCAATACTCCTTCTTCCTCGGTGTCCTCAGAGAGGAGGTTTGTCTCCTTCTTCCTCTCAGATCGGCAGTCCTTCGCGAAATGCCCAACCTTCCCACAATTATAACATTTGATACCTGAATAGCAGTCCTTAGCAAAATGATCGTACTTCCCACATTTGAAGCACTCAACTCCAGAATTGCTTGACTGACCACCTCGGCCTCTACTGTCACAACCTCTACCTTGTCTTCGGCCACGCCAGTTTTGTTGACTGACTTGCTCCTTGCCTCTTTCATATTCTCCTATGCCTCTACCACCTCGGCCTTGAGTGTTCTGAGCATAAGGAACCTTCTTCTCCTTTAAGGTTGTCTTTGCTTGGAGTGCTTGATCAAGGGACTCCTCTTTCTTCTTCCTTCTCCGTTGCTCATGCGCTGCAAGCGACCCGACAAGCTCTTCCACCGAGAGCACCGACAAGTCCTTGGACTCTTCTATTGCACAAATGATATTCTCAAAGTCGTCAGTTAACGACCTTAAGATTTTCTCCACCACTCGGCAAGTGGGCAGCGTCTCTCCATTTCTTCCGAATTGATTCACCACGGTCTCAACACGGGAGATGTACTCGGCAACCCCTTCGACCTCTTTCATCCTCATGCTTTCAAGCTCGCCTCTAAGAGTTTGAAGTCTGACTTGTTTCACACGATTATCCCCTTTATATGCCTTCTCCATAATATCCCACGCTTCTTTTGAAGATTTAGCATTTTCTATCTTCTCAAAGCCGGACTCATCAACAGCTCGGTATAGCACGTACAAAGTTGTTTTGTCCTTTACTCGTGTTGCTCTCAATGCAGCAAGCTGGACAATTGTCTGCTCTTCAATATTTTCTGGTTCTTGGTGCCCATTTTCGACCACATCTCATACTTCCTGGGAACCAAGGAGAGTCTTCATTTGCACGCTCCAGTTATCATAGCTTATGCCTTTCGATAACTTTGGCAGAAGCATGTTGTTAGTTAAGTTGGTCATCTCGAACAAACTCTCTAACTCTCAAATACTCTCTCTAACGCACTCAGACACTCAGGCTCTCAAACTCTGATGTCAATTTGTTGACAAACAAGTATCTAAATAAAGCACTCTGTTGCAATGAGTGATACATGTTCAATTTATAGGCCTTTGGATATGACCTCTCAACTACATGCATTTAATACAACTACTACCTTTCAACTACATATATTCAATATAACCACTATCTCTCAACTACATACATTCAATATAACTACTACCTCTCAACTACTACCTCTATAACTACTATCTTTCAACCACATGTATTTAAGGTTTACCTAACATAAAGTAATAATGACTATGCTTAAAGAAAGACCATTAGCCTGTAGCTACAACTTTCTTTTTGAGTGTAAAAACAACCAATGAACCGGAATAGTAAAAGCTCAAGAGACATTAAATTTTATATTGTAAAAGCTTGTAAAAATCTCAGTTACCAAAAAAAAAAAAAAAAAAACAATAAAACCAGTAAAAGGCATAGGATCCAGACCACCAACCCTTCTGGTTTCTGCATTGATATCGGGGAGCAATCGGAGCCAAGCTGAATAGAGCAAGGATTCATATACAGTAACATGTGGAGAGTGGATGTCATTTTGCTCACAGTATCCAGAAATCCTTGCAAATGTTTCTTGCTTCTTCCGATATCCAGAGATTGTGATGTTCCCTCCAATATATCCTCCATTTTTTCTACCAGCAAGTACATCCATCAGTGTTGTTTTGCCTGCTCCAGTGATACCCATTAGAGCAGTGAGAACACCTGGCCTGAAAGCTCCACTGACACCCTTCAAAATAACCAATTTATCCTCAACAACACCTTGGTTCTTCATTTCCTGCAAGTATTTTATAATTTTCATTCACAATAATTCTTTGAAAGTTGAAAATGCAAGTGTTATCAATTTATTTTGTTAATTGTTTTCACATCACCTTTGGCATGTCCACAGCATATGATACTTCATCAAAGGTGATAGAATGTGGCTGAAAAGGAAGAACCATTCCTCTAGCGGGTAAAGAATGAGAAGATTTGCTCACTGGGAAGTAGCAACGGTGTTATCCCACATAAGGTGCAACGTGAAATGAAAATCAACTATTACCATTCAAGACATTACCATGCTCAGTTGTTAAGTGAAGAAGTACCTCTATTTGAGTGCTGAGAAAAACTATATTTAATGTGCCTCTGCACCTTACTTCCTTTCTCACTACCTCCATTCTGCTCATTGTTTTGAGGTTCCTCTGATATAACAGCCTGGTGCTTTTTGGGTGCTGCAAAAAGAATATTGTGATATGGATACATTGGTCTACCTTAGATGGTTTACTATACGCTTAATTTGAAGACACTCACAACTCAAGTACATAAGAGCAAAGATGTAGCCAAAGTTGAAAAGTAATGTATATCCAATCAAAGCCCCAACACCTATCCAGTACCAGTATGACTCAGTGAAAAATCCCCGGGATTTCAAAACTTCGACACCTAGAGACTCCGTCGAGTTAGGTAAAATCTACAATAAGAAGATATATCCAAATACAAGATTATTTATATGATAAAGATGACAATCAAAAGTAAAATAAAAATGTAGATTAGTTAAAAAACTTATTACATGTCTCCATCTCCTTCCAAGAAATTCATTATTTACTATGGCATTTTGTCCATACATCATGGGTGATATCCAAAAACTCCATCGCCACCATTTTTTAACTTTGTCTAGGGCATAAGGGGCACGAAGGAGCATTGTTAATTTGTTAGTCGATAAACATAATGGGAGAAGGACTGGACTGTTTTGTTTTCACAGTACCTTTTGATAGGACAAAACCACTCGTAACAAGAAGGATGGAATTTGTAAACGACGCAAGTGTTTGAGATACTGTTGACACCTTCCCAAGTGCTGCAACAAATCGGTATAATCCCAAAGACATCTGCTTTACTAGTACAATAATAAGGTATTGCCTGAAAAATCTGCTTAAGGTAGACATATAATAAATCATTAATTATTCATAGGATCCAAATAGATAAAAAAAAAAAAAACACACACAGGAGGAAAGATCAGTTAAAATGTTTTCTTAATATGTGTAGAAATAAAGCTTTTACCTTTCTATGTATGGATCATAACCAATGACATAGTAGGTGAGGAATACCCAAACAGCAACTTCAACAAAAGTCATGGGGATTCTTATGATCCATGCAGGAAGAGCATATGCCCATGAAGGAAAAAATAGATTATCCCTTTCCTTGTAGAAAACAGGAAATCTTGAAACAGTCATGGAAACTTCAATCAATCCATTGAACATAATCGCGACAAGGGTATAGAACAATGCACCCATATATATGCCGCCATCCATCACTGAATCTCTGTGCATCCCAGTCTGGAGAAAAACTGTCATGGTAATAGTTCCCTGTGCAGCAAGCTAGAAGGAAAGAAAGCTATCAGTAAGACAATAATAGCATTAGATGACATGACAATGAAGCATTCCAATTTTCAAACCTACTTGGACAAGCTTGAAGGTGTAGGTAAATGAATTACGCTTAAAAAGTAAGTATTCTCTTGATAAGCAAGCTTTTATAAGTTCCCATTTTCCCACTCCATACTTTTTGGTTGTCAAAGCAGCTGGGTGGCTCTTGGACTTGTCAAATACAGTAGCAAGTTCTTCACGAAGGCTTTTCCCAACATGAAATGACTTGTGTGCCTCTGAGAACTCTTCGGCTGTGACAAATCTATAAGGTTTATCTTTGTGTCCCCAGTACTGCTCCTGATCTTTCCTTGATGTTACCTACAACATAATTATTAATAGTGAAAATTAAACTTATAAAATTCAATTTTACCTGTTCAGACAGATTAAATCGATGAGACAAACACACGGGCACTTACTTCTTGCAAAAAGTCTGCAACACCTTTCCTCTCAGGACACTGAAAACCCATTGATTCGAAAAATTCAAGCACATATTCGCGGGGACCCTGGTATACTATAAGATTATCAGAGAGTAGAATAACGTCATCAAAAAGGTTGTAAGTCTCCGGTGTTGGCTGCAGAAGTGAGATGACTATGGTTCCTTTGAGAATGTGAACAAATTGCTTGAGTGAATTCACAATTTGGAAGGTTGTTGAGCTATCCAAACCAGTAGATATTTCATCCATGAATAGAGCTTTAGCTGGTCCAACCAGCATCTCTCCTGTATTTAAAGGTTTATTACTATAAAGTCGATTTAACGGGATACACTTCAAGATTGACATTAGTTTACTTTTACCTATTGTAAGGCGTTTCTTTTGTCCACCAGAGATCCCTCTTAACATTGCATTTCCTACAATAATATCAGCACAGATCTCCAGTCCTAAAATCTGCACATGCAAAGCAAATAAACCAGAGACTATAAAACAAATACTATAATGAATTCTTGATCAGAGATGGTTTAGAGATAATGGATTATTTTACCCTTAGAACATAATCTGTTATCAAATTTTCCTTTTGGCCTTCAGTTGCTAGAGCCTGAGCATTGTGAGTCAAAAGGACAACCATTTTATGATCAGTTATTAGTATGTATGGAAAACAAATCAGTGATGCACCTATAACTAACTGCTGGTGTAAGTGAAGTTAATTATCGTTGTCTGCTATTATACTAACAGATATCACAAACTCGTCCTAGATTTCTTTTTTTATGATAAAGTTTAAAATCAATATCAAAATGTTGAAGAAGAAAAGAATCTCCAAAATACAAATATTTTTCTCTCTGATTTGAAAGGCTTTGGGTTCACAAAATATAAAAGGAAGGTTAAGGGATGCAAGTCAAATGGGAAAAATACATCCCTTACAAGCAATGACATCTTGATTACCTTCATGTAGACATCAATATCTGGATCAGGCTTAATATTTGCCTCTTTTTCTCTTCTGGACAATTCTTCAAGCAACTCTGTAGAAAGCCAGACATATTACACGTGTAAAAACTTATATTTCATTTAAAACACCAGCCTGTGCTTTCAATACTGAATTTAATAATGAATATATGCTAAATCTCTCAAGCACGACCATACATACATGTATATATTGGGTACGCATGGATACATACCGATGCATACCAAAAATATTAAAAACTATTGCTACAGAATACTACATATTTAGGTACAGACCTGTACCCGAAGACTTGTTTGGGATAGTAAAAGATATGAATGAGATTTATTAAAAAGAGTTGACTTTGTTGAAGTTGTTATTCTTTCTCCATACCTTAATCAAATTTATGACTCCTAATTTGCGAGTGATTCTTTTCACTAAGATGGTTAGGAAAATAGTAAGACTGAATATTTTGATTGTTGAATATTTTGTATTATAATTTTTACTAGCTAGAAAGATAACTTTTTGTCATGTTGAAGATTAATCACCTTTTATGCTATAAATTATACTTATTATATGTATCTTTTTATCATTTATGCAATTTAGTCATGTTTACATAAAATTCAATATATATATATATATATATATATATATATATATATATATATATATATTAAAAATTATATTAATATACCTAACTACATGTATCCCAGATTTTGTATTAAATCATTCATCGAGTATAGACTAACCATAATGAGTTCCAATTCCTTGGACTCTTGCTGAGAAGGCCAAGGTTTCTCTGACTGTCAACTCTGCAATATGATAATCATTTTGATTGACATAAGCAGCAGTTCTTTGGGGTACAAACTCGTTCATTCCATGACCATTATACGTCACCTTTCCAGAAAACTGATCAAGAAGCCATAGCCATCCTTTATTAGCTTGCGACAACATATTGAAAAATAGATCAGAAACATATGAAAGCATTGTTAAAATAATATTGTATTCTGATTAATGGCCTAACCTTCAGTTTAGGATCAAGTTTGTTAGCCAGGGCCAACAAGAATGTGGTTTTTCCAGAACTTGGAGGGCCTAAAAGCAATGTCATTCTGAACCGGATGAAATTAATGGAAACGTTATACTGATTCAAACGGTGGTAGCTAATTAAGGTCTAGTATATGAATAATAATAGAACTTCATGTTTCAATTTTGCATTGCTACCTGCCAGGCTTTATTATTCCACTAACATTCCGTAGAATATTTATAGTTTTTCTTCTACTTGGAAGTATATGGAGAGAGTTCACCAGGCCCTTAAAAATGTAACGAAATCAGTACAATAGAAGCTTCTTCAACAAGTTCTACTATTTACGAAAGTTGGCTTTTATCACCACTTACCTCCACTATATTAACCATGAAGTTAGTGAAGGTAGGCAAAGCTCTAGTTCCTGCATGAACTTCAGCTTCGACGTTCAAGTTCTCAAACCGAACCTCTATGGTAGGAAGTTCAATTGCAACTCTGATATCATCCAGTCCCAGAAACAGAAAGAGAAAGAGAAGAATTCATCCATCAGTACATATTTCCATCGAAGACACCTCTATTAGAATGAAGAAGAAGAAACGAGGGTGGGAAACTATTCTCACCTATCAATCCGATTCCTGAGCTTGAGCAAAAATTTCTCATTGTCCTCTTCAGCAGTTCTCACCAGTCTTTCAAGTAAAGCTCTCCTTTCTTGCAACCCAAGTTTGTGCACATCAATCTCATTCACTTCCCCTTCGGATGAAGTGAGCAAAGCCTTCCTCAAACGTGAAACAGTGGGAAGCTTCTGAATGGCAGCCCATTTGAGAGCCTCTTCATCATCCTCTCTGTGGAAAGAGTTTGAAAAGATCCCCGCATCATTTTCCACCCTCCCAATGGATGAACTACCAATCTTCAAACTGCTGCCACCCTCCATGCCACCACACCAAAAAAGAAGTTTTAAGCTTATTGCAACCCTTACTAAAACCTAGCAACTGTTTCCCAGAAACAATAAGTTTCTCCAATTTTGGTTTCCTGTTGTTTTGTGAGGAAGAAAAGACGCAGTTCCTTTCTCTCTGGCTAAATGGCAAATATATATATAGATATAGATATAGATATAGATATAGATATAGATATATAATATGTGTGTGTAGAGTCAAATATGTCGTGCGGGTTTTGAAGTGCAACATCGTTGTGCATGTTCTGCAATGTTTCTTAACTTGGAGATACGTAGGAAACAGTAGCCGGAACACTACCATTTTGCTATAGGTCCCCTTGGCCAAATATTGAATGAATACCAAACCCTAACAACTAGCTATAGAGAGGAAGAAGAAAAAAAAAGAAAAAAGAGAGAAAGTGATGTAGGTACGTAATTTCTATCATTTTCAAAACCTAAGGTCTGCTTCAATTTTAATATGAGAAGTTTTAGTTTTAATTAGCTCTTGTTAAACAAATTATAGTGTTAAAAATCCAATTATAGTTTAACATGTTATAACTGAAAATGAAAACTATTTTTGAAAGAATTTTTTTTTTTTTCCGACAATTCAAACGTGTTCATAACAAGCATCAAATGTCCCTCTTTCTATAAAATAGAATTACTAGTTTGTGCCAGAAAATTGCAAAAAAATATCATTGTTGAATTACCACATGCTGAAAGTTTTAATCTAGTTATTAAAAATTTTAATTATAATTTATAACTTTGAAATTATGTATTCATTATGTCCAACTTAAATGAAAATTAGGCATGTATACCATTATGTATTTTAATTTGTATGCGTATATATTAAACTATTATATTATTTATTTGCAATAGGAGTCTGGCTCAGTGTTGGTCAAAGGGGCAACAATTAAGAACTCAAAAATTCAGGGTCCATAAAATGTTATACATTTTTAAATAAGATTTTTTTTTAACTAATCAGTTAATTTCTTTGTCAATTCACATTTTAACATTCTAATGAAACAATTTGCAGCGCAAATTTAAAAAAATTCAACTATTATAAGTTCTTAGTTTTGTAGGATTTTTTTATTTTTTATTTTAATGATAATTTAACTACAATATTAATTAAGCTGGTTTTATTTAGATTATGATGTATTTTGAAATTTTTAAATTATAAAATACCAAATTATGTATTTAATTTGTGAACATTTACATGACATTAATTTATTTTTATTTTTTAAATTCTGCAATATATCAAGTTAAGGGATTACTTTTATGTCGAATTTTGTATATTTATTAAAATAATTTTTTCTACAAAGATTTTTTTTCTCTCTCTATTTCTGTATACCTACTTAAGAATTTTAGAAAAATGGTAAATAGATATTATTGAAGACGAAAACTTTGTAATTAAAAGAAAGTAGAACTTTTAGAAAAGAATTAATATGGATGCATCTTAAGACTTTTGAAACCCCTCTTCAAAAAAATAAAACTATAATTTCAAATTAAGCAATTATGGGTAATAATGAAAATATCTTCCCTATTAAGTTTGTTCTTTGAATAAAAAAATCATCCTTGTCCTCCTTAATTTTGATTAACATAGAATAATTAAACTATTTTAATTAGTAAATAATTTGTTAGGCTTAATTAACATAAACTAGGAATATAATAGTTAGTTTGGATTAAACACATTAACACAAGACTACTTTATTTAAACCTTGATCAAAACCACTTGAACCTAAACCTAACCACACTAATGAAAATCTAACTAAGTTTTTCAACCATTAATAAACATCAAGACTATAATTAATCAGTGTTTTAACACTACAAGAAAAAACACATTTAGCCACCGAAATTAGCAACCGATTTAGCGACCGATTTAATTTTGGTCGCAATTAGAGACCGATTTAGCGACCACTTTAATTCCGTCGCAATTAGCGACCGATTTAGCGACCACTTTAATTCGGTCGTAATTAGCGACCGATTTAGCGACCAAAATATGATTTGGTTTTCACTTTTTTATTTAGCGACCGAAATAGCGACCAATATTTTGCGTCACAAAATTTCGGTGGCTATTTCATACATAAATAAAAAAATCATTTAGCGACTGATTTAGTGACCGAATTACAAATTGAAATAGTGACCGAATTAAAATCGGTCGCTAATGAGAAAATAATCGATGATTTTATCTGATTTTTGCAATATCGCTCAAGCAAAAATAACATCGCTCGAGCGACGCCACCTGCACAAAATTGGCATTCTTGGGTTGTATTTCGCTTGAGCGACAATATGTTCGCTCGAGCGACATCCGATTCAAACATGAGGTCACCCATGTTACATTATCCGGCTAACTTTGATCGACGTTTACGCAGGTCAACATTCGCTCAAGCGAAAGTAACATCGCTCGAGCGACGCCACCTGCACAAAATTGGCATTCTCAGGTTGTATTTCGCTTGAGCGACAATATGCTCGCTCGAGCGACATCCGATTCAAACATGAGGTCACCCATGTTACATTATCCGGCTAACTTTGATCGACGTTTACGCAGGTCAACATTCGCTCAAGCGAAAGTAACATCGCTCGAGCAACGCCACCTGCACAAAATTGGCATTCTCGGGTTGTATTTCGCTTGAGCGACACTAGTCTCCCTCGAGCGATATTTGATGCAAAAATGTGTCAATAAATAAATAAAATATTTGTCACTTTTAAGAGCGGTTAATATTTACACCGCTCTTAAAAGTGAACATATAATAGCGGTTCCAAGTGAACCTCTATCATATACAACCACATTTTTTTATTCTGATCGATTAGATTTTTAAATGATCGATCATATTTGATAATTTTTTCAAATAATTAATTATAATAGATTAGTTTTCTAAATAATTGATTAGAATTGATTAGTTTTTCAAATAATAGATTATAATTGATTAATTTCTCAAATATATATTAAAAAATTATAAATAAAAATATAATTTATTTAAGAATATTAATTATTGTAAAGATAAAGTAGAACATGGGAGGAGATGAGGATGATAATATAATGATAGAATTTACAAAAAAGTAGAATTGAGAAGTTTTACAAAGAAAAATTTAAGAAAACAGATATTTAATTATACTTTTAACAAATTTAAAATAATACTAGTTTTGATTTTTATTTTTAAATATTTATTTTAATTTTTTAAAACAGAGAAACTATAATTTTAGTTTCTAAATACTCAATTTAAAGAATTAAATTTATTATTATTTAATCTTTTAATTTTAGTATTAAAAATTTAAATTATATTTTATTAAATTAAAATAATTACAATATATTTTTCTACTTTGAGAATGAACAACATAATTAAACTCAAAATTTACAATATTATAATACATTTTTGAACTCTTTTGGATTAATTTTCTTTTCCTAATTTTTGATAAAGTTAACTTTCATATTTAAAAGTATTTAACATTTTGAATTCTGAAAAGTTTTCTCTAATAGCAAATTTAAAAACATAATATTCAAAAAATAGTTAATGTAAGTTTTCATTATGATCGATTATATTTTGAAATGATCGATCATAATTGAAACGATATAATAGCGGTTCCACGTTAACCGCTATCTAAAATATATTTTAGATAGCGGTTAAGGTTTAACCGCTATTAGAAGTGCTGATTTAAGAGCGGTTCAAGTGGAACCGCTATCATATACAACCATATTTTTTATTCTGATCGATTAGATTTTCAAATGATCGATCATATTTGATAATTTTTTCAAATAATTAATTATAATCGATTAGTTTTCTAAATAATTGATTAGAATTGATTAGTTTTTCAAATAATAGATTATAATTGATTAATTTCTTAAATATATATTAAAAAATTATAATTAAAAATATAAATTATTTAAGAATATTAACTATTGTAAAGATAAAGTAGAACATGGGAGGAGATGAGGATGATAATATAATGATAGAACTTACAAAAATGTAGAATTGAGAAGTTTAAACAAAAAAAATTAAGAAAATAGAGATTTAATTACACTGTTAATAAATTTAAGATAATACTAGTTTTGATTTTTATTTTTAAATATTTATTTCAATTTTTTAAAACAGAGAAACTATAATTTTAGTTTCTAAATACTCAATTTAAAGAATTAAATTTATTATTATTTAATCTTTTAATTTTAGTATTAAAAATTGAAATTATATTTTATTAAATTAAAATAATTACAATATATTTTTCTACTTTGAGAATGAACAATATAATTAAACTCAAAATTGACAATATTATGATACATTTTTGAACTCTTTTTTTTCCTAATTTTTGTTAAAGTTAATTTTAATATTTAAAAGTATTTAACATTTTGAATTCTGAAAGGTTTTCTCTAATAACAAATTTAAAAACATAATATTCAAAAAAATAGTTAATGTAAGTTTTCATTATGATCGATTATATTTTGAAATGATCGATCATAATTGAAACGATATAATAGCGGTTCCACGTTAACCGCTATCTAAAATATATTTTAGATAGCGGTTAAGGTTTAACCGCTATTAGAAGTGTGGTTTTAAGAGCGGTTCCAGTGGAACCGCTATCATATACAACCACATTTTCTTATTCTGATCGATTAGATTTTCAAATGATCGATCATATTTGATAATTTTTTCAAATAATTAATTATAATCGATTAGTTTTCTAAATTATTGATTAGAATTGATTAGTTTTTCAAATAATAGATTATAATTGATTAATTTCTGAAATATATATTAAAAAATTATAATTAAAAATATAAATTATTTAAGAATATTAACTATTGTAAAGATAAAGTAGAACATGGGAGGAGATGAGGATGATAATATAATGATAGAACTTACAAAAATGTAGAATTGAGAAGTTTAAAACAAAAAAAATTAAGAAAATAGAGATTTAATTACACTGTTAATAAATTTAAGATAATACTAGTTTTGATTTTTATTTTTAAATATTTATTTCAATTTTTTAAAACAGAAAAACTATAATTTTAG